TTTACGCCTTCGAGCTTCAGACTGTTGTTCCTAAAGAGGGGATAGCGGTTAGAATCAAAGAATCCTAGAGCTGGAAGAGACCTTGGAGGTTTTCTAGTCCAACGAGAAGACCTCCAATATTTTCATGTGATGGTGATCAAAATTGGGACACAGCATTCCAAGTATGGAATGCGCATCCAATTTTGGTCAAGAGCAAGAGGATTAGGCGGAAACATATGAAGAACGGTTGCAGAAAGTGGGTATATGTGTAGTCTAGTGAAAAGAACTAGGGACTGTGCCAAAATGGATAAACTAACTAAAGAAATCCAGGGAAAGGAAGAATCAGAATTCTACCAGATATGGGATAAATGGAGGTATAGGTGGATGGAGGAAAGAAACAAAAATCAATGAAAGAATATAACAAAACTCAAAAAAATAATAGTCGTGGGTAAAATAAGAGGGTTAAGAATGGGGAAACCCAAATGAAATACAATAGAAGGGGAAATAATATAAGGTGAGCGGTATCGATTGGCAATTGCTATTATAAAGAACAGGAAGTTCCTGTTCGTATTGTATTGTGTAAATGCGATGTACGTCTACTTTTTGGGTCTGCGTATTTTACATGTTTGTTAATAAAAATCTTTTAAAAAACAAACAAACAAACAATCAAATAAATAAATAAAAGAACTAGGGGTGACATGATAGCACATGTTCCAATATTTGAGAGGGTCAACCTATATTCCAAAGCACCAGATGGCAAGACAAGAAACAGAGGAGGACAACTAATCAAGGAGAGAAGCAACTTAGAACTAAGGAGAAATTTCCTGACAGTTAGAAAAATTAATCAGTGGAACAACTGGCCTCCAGAAGTTGTGAATGCTCCAACACTGGAAGCTTTTAAAAAGAGACTGGATAGCCATTTCTCTAAAATGATATAGAGTGTCCTGCTTTAGCAAGGGTTTGACTAGAAGATCTCCAAGGTCCCTTCCAACTCTCTCATTCTGTTCTCTTCCGTTCAACTCCCTGCCCAAGGTTGTCCAATCTTATCTTGAAAAACCTCCAGCAATGGAGCACTCACAAGTCCAAACAAGCAAGCTGTCCCACTGATTAATCATTCTCATTGTCCCCCCACCCCAAAGTTCCTACAGCTTCCGTTCCCTCAACCGTTTCAACCCTATACGTAAGAATTAAGTCCAGTGTAGATGCTCTTCTAGTTGTCTTTTCCACCTTTTGTATGGCAAAAGTTGTCAGCAAGGCACATCAAGAATCTGTCGGATCTCCCACTCGCTTCAGAATTTTAGCATGACCGATAACATTGCATTTTGCTCTGCCCTGATTTTGACGGAGGTTGCTTGTTTTGATGGCCAAGCAGTTGTGTTGCAAGATATGAATGGAGGGCAGGCTGCGTTTTGGGAGTTCTTGCTGAAGAGACAAACGTACTTACTCTTTCTGTCCTGTCTCAACACTATTATCCGAGCCCAGAGAAACTCCGGTTGGAGACTGTCTGCCGGTAAATCTTGATGCAGAGAAGCTCCGGGAAAGGGATTCTCCGTACGGTTCAAAATTCAAAGCTGCAAAGAGAAATAACAATTATCAATGTCTGTCAAGCCAGAACATAAACAACTATTTGCAAAAACGTGGAAAAAATATTCCGTTAATAACAATAGCACTTAAGACTTCCATACCGCTTCACAGTGCTTTATAGCCCTCTCTAAGCGGTTTACAGAGTCAGCCTCTTGCCCCCCAACAATCTGGGTCCTCATTTGATCCACCTTGGAAGGATGGGAGGCTGAGTCAACCTTCAGCTTGGTGAGATTCGAACTGCCAAATTGCAGGCTGCCGGCGGTCAGCAGAAGTAGCCTGCAGTACCGTGTTCTAACCACTGAGCCACCACAGCTCTCATGATTGATTAAGCAATCAATCAGAAAAGAGCTGGAAGGGACCTTAAGAGATCTTCTAGTCCAGGGCCCCCCAAACCCTGGTCCATGAACCAGCACAGGATGCCAGACACCATGCCATGAAACAAATGAAGCCCCATTTGCAGGATGCAGGCAGCACATGAAACCACATCCCCTCTGGTCCACGGAAAAGCCCCTCTCCCCGGAACCAGTCCTTGGTGCCCTAAAGGTTGGGGGCCACTGTTCTAGTCCAACCCCCTGATCAAGGAGGAGACCCTACCCCATTTCAGACAACTGGCTCTTCTTAAAACCTCCACTGATGAAGCACCCACCATTTCTGAAAGCAAGCTGTTCCACCAGTTAAAGAGCCGAGGTGGCGTAGTGGTGAGAGTGCAGTACTGCAGGCTACTTCTGCCGACTGCCAGCTGCCTGCAATTTGGGCTCAAGGTTGACTCAGCCTTCCCTCCTTCCGAGGTGGGTCAAACGAGGACCCTGATTGTTGGGGGCAAGAGGCTGACTCTGTAAACCGCTTAGAGAGGGCTGTAAAAGCACCGTGAAGCGGTATATAAGTCTNCCAGGTGTGGCAGGTGTGTTGCCTCCAGCTCCATTTTCAGCCGCGATGGCCTCCTGCAGCCCTCTGCTAGGGAAAAGGGAGCTCCGTTTCCACTGCCAGAGGCACTGAAGGCCGGCCCATCATGGTTAACAGGGCGGCCCCATGTGGGTCAGGCCTAAGTATCTCACAGGCCAGACCCAGCCTACAGAGCCCGGGAGTTTAACAGCCCCGGCCCTGGTATAGACGGTTGGGATCAGGAGGGGGAAGGGGGGGGATTGGAAACATCCCTTGGGATTTCCGGGTGCCCTTCCCGGCTGCCGGGGGATCCTGAGCTTTTGAAGGGCCCTTTTTCCAGTTGCCAAAATGAAACTCATGAACTAACCCACCAATGGGGTCCTGATCTCGGCACGGCTAGTCCTCGACTTACAACGGTTCTCTTAGCAGCCGAAGTCACAACTTCACATTAAAAAAAGGGGGACTTACAGCCGCTTTTCACTCTGACGATGGTTGCAGCCTCTCCATGGTCAGGTGGGGAAAATTCAGGCCCTTGGCAAGCGGTTCGTACTTATGATGGCGGAAGCGTCCCGGGGTCACGTGACCCCCTTTGGCGACCTTCTGATGAGCCAAGTCAAGCGGGGAAGCCAGATTCATTTAACAACCGTGTGACTAACTCAACAGGTGCAATGATTCACTTTCCGACCGTGGCAAGTAAAATCGTAAAATGGGGCAAAAGTCACTTAACAAATATGTCACTTTAGCCACATAAATTTGGGGTTCATTTGTGGTCATAAGTCAAGGACTTCCGGTAGATGAACCAGTCTTATGCCACTGGAAATAACTTGCTCTTTCCCTTTTTCCTCTCTCCTCTCTTTTTCTCTTTCTCCTTTTCCTTCTCCTCTTCTTTTCTCTTTTCTTCTTTCCTTCTTTTCTCTTTCCTTCTTATCTCCTCTTTCTTCTCCTCTCTCTTCTCCTCCCCTCTCCTCTCCCCTCTTCTCTTCTCTTCTCTCCCCTCCTTCCTCCCTCTTCTGTCTCCTCTCCCTCCCTCCCTCCCCCTCCTTTCCCTTCTCCTTTGTTCTTCTTTTTCATTCTCTTCTCTCTCCTCTCTTCTCTCTCTCCCTTCCCCTCTTCTCCTGTTTTTTTCTCTTTTGTTCTTTGTCTTTTGTTTCTCCCCTCCCTTCTCTTTCCCTTCTCCTGTCTCTCTCCCCTCCCCTCTTTTCTCTTTTGTTCTCTTTCATTCTTTTCTATCTTTCCTCTCATCTTTCTCTCTTCCCCTCTCATCCGCTCCCCTCCCCTCTTTTCTCTTTCGTTCTCTTTCGTTCTTTTCTCTCTCCTCCTCTCCCCTCTTGTCTCCCCTTCTCCTTTCCTTCTCTATTCTCGCGCCAGAGTTCAGAGTCGTCCTTGTTGGGAAAACCGGCGCTGGGAAAAGTGCAACGGGGAACACCATCTTGAAGGGAAATTATTTCCTCTCCGAGATGAGTCTCCAGACCATAACCCGAAGCTGTCAAAGGGGGGAGAGGCAGCTGAAGTACCAAAAGATTGTGGTGGTCGACACGCCCGGAGTTTGCAGCACTCAGCTCTCCGAGGGTGAAACCTCTGCCGAGCTTAAGAACTGCCTGCAGTTGTGTCTGCCAGGCCCCCACGCCATTATCCATGTCCTTAAGGTCGGGACTTTCACCACGGAGGAGAAGAAGACCGTTCGGGTGCTGAAAAGTGTTTTCCAGGCTAGCGCCCTCCGCTACTTCATCATTTTGTTCACCGGGAAAGAGGACCTGGAAGGGGAATCGCTCGAAAGCTTCATCTCTGTCCAGGACAAAGAGCTGAAGACGCACATCGCGGACTGTGGGAACCGGTGCCTGGCTTTCAGCAACCGGGCCAAAGGGGCAGAACAAGAGGCTCAGGTGGAGGAGTTGATCCGGATGGTCCAGGATCTGGTGCAAAAGAACCAGGAGGCTCCTTACTATGCTGAAGAAACTCAAAAGGGCTTCCCTTGGAATCTCCCCCTGTTCTAAGAGAGACGGCGAAGATCTCCCTCCCCCCCCCCACTTAACCCAGGGGTCTCCAACCTTGGCAACTCTAAAACCTGTGGACTTCAATTCCCAGAATTCCCCAGCCAGCAAGGGTTCACCAGAATGGATAGGACAAGAGCAAGAACGAATGCGGATAAAACTACTTTATCAGATTTTTTCATACTTTAACTTTATTGGTAGAAGGTGGGTATGCAGCAGGGGTGGGTTTCTC